GGGCTCATATGAAGCTGTGCTTACTCATGCTTGCAAAACATTCAAAGATTAGAGAGAGCAGCGTCTGTAAAACCATAAAGAATACTTTGTTATCATTATTATTTCACCAGAGCAATAGGGAAATACTCTTTAAAAATGCTTCAGTTCGTTAGTTCATAACTATCTTTTAGCTGCTAAAAGCAAAAAACCAGCAAGCTGCAGAGTAGCAGGTTCAGACTTCATTTGTCTCAATACAGGCCTATTTGTTTGCCTCTGCCACAGGTGGTGATTACTTTTTACACTGTTTTAATAAAAAGGTAAGTAGTAGATGTAGAGGTGAAGGTAAGAAGTAGATGTAAAGTAAAAGCAAATGAATCTGGGACTCATCCTGAGACATCTGTGTCCTGAAATGTTGCCCTCCAGCCCACATTCCAGGTTGCTATCCTTCTCTCTGCACAAGCTTCTGGGGTCTCATTAATGCACCAGGCAAGTCTACACAGCAAAGGGCTGTTGGAGATCCTGAGGTAGCTTTGGGGGAGCTGGCTTGTCTGCACGGTGCATTGCAATGCCAGGCACGGATGCTAGCTTGGATCCCAGATGCAATATAGCCTGTCTGTATAGCAAAGCACCCACGCTAATTAGCCCTGCCCCTGAGGATGCTGCAGGAACTGAGCTACTTAGCTATGCTGAGAGGCACCTCTGTTAATTAGCCCAGGGAGAACAGAACAACACTAACAGAGCTTCCGATCATGGCATTAGCTCAGGGATCTCTATAGTGTACTTGGCTGTGTAGCATAGCTGAGCCCACAGCTCCCTTGAGCACCATCTGAAGAATCTAAATACCTTCTTTCAATCCAGTGTCACCATCTGACCCTGCTTTTGCAAGTATTCATAGCTGTTTTTCTCTTGATGGTAAGAAAATTAAGTAAATAGATTCAAAAGAATGCAGAAAAAAAAGCCAGTAAAAACCACACTACAATAATCTAGTGTTATTAAATTCAGCTACAGGTAGTGACATGCCTGTAGGGAAGCACTGCATATTCCTAACCCATCTTGATAAAAGGCATACTTTGGCTAGTGGTGCATGTTTTGCAAGCAGTGTATCTCTAAAGTTACTGTTAACTCGAGCCAACTCAGTTACAAACACAGACTGTGATATATTGAGTTGTAGCCATGCAAGATTTTCCATTACTAGTGCAGGGCTGAATGAAATCATTGAGGCACAGGTACACACCTAGGAAAGACGAGCAGGAGTTTTGTCCCCTTTCCTTCTCCCCTGGCTGCACCATGAGCTGGGGCAGGGCTGTTGTGGCAGGTTGTGCTGCCTGCAGCAGAGCCCAGCTCAGCAAGGATCGCTGTCTGCGCCGTGCACAGCGTGCACAAGGCTGGTGCCAGCCCAAGCACCGCACACGGCTCTGCCTCCAGCTCCCAGGGTTGCTATACAACAGCACAGGGGTAAACAATGCCCTGTCTCCACTGCAGCCAGCACAGAGAGATAGAGGATGGTGATGTGACTATTGTTAAGGGAACGCTTCCAAATGCCTTTCCAACCACCTTATCATAGGTACGCGCAGGAACGCTGAGTTTGTGCCTTTCAGAGAGAAAGCGTGCGTGCTTTGTGCCATTCCAGGAGCACGGTTTATGGTTCTTATTCTTGAAAAATGGAGCACAGTGATTTCCAATTACCTTCCAGGCATGTGTGTAAAGGCACCCATTTCTTTCCCATATGTTTCAGAAGAAACTTTTTGCACGTGGGTAACTTCTGAACATAAGGATATAAGCTCTTAAGTCCCAGTTTGAGTTCTTGATCAAAATGCAAAAATGCATGGTGAAATTTTAAATCAGCTTCAAAACCTTATAATGTAAGGCTGCTGGAACCATTGAGAAAGTCAAAACTTTTAAGTGGATATTAGGAAAACAAAAATGCCAGAGAAAGCAGAGGTTTCTTCTGGAATTAATATGGTTTCAATAGAGAGAATACTTAGGCTTCTTCTAAAGATTGCTACCTTTTAGGTACATAAAAGCAAAAAAAAATATGGCTCTTATCTTTCAGGTTCCCAATAATTTGCTATTATGATATGAAGGTGGGGGAGGTGTATGTAATATACGTGAAAATCTGAGTTCAGTATTTAATTTTTACTTCTTATCCTTTAGAAAAAAGAATCTTAAAAGTATGGTTTATGCAGCTTTATAATAATTGTCAAAATAATATAGTGTTCTACAGGGTTTACTAATGCAAACTGGGTTATCTCACACAACCTGGACTTTACAACAGGGGTTCTGGATGTATACCAGACACACAAAATGGTCATTAACTTGATATGATACGAGAAAGGTGTTGAAGTGAATAACTTATATAGTAGTAATAGTGGTTCTGTCTATGAACAATTTATCTTGCTTTTGAATGGCAAAAAAGATACTTTAACTTGCCTTGTCTCTGGGCAACTTTAGAGTGACCTAGACACTTCTCAGTTTCAGAGTTCAAAATTGGCCCCTCCTTTTATACTTGGCTGGTGCTTAGCCCAAAGTTGCAATGCATCACAGTGTCTCACAGAGACCTAAAAAAATAGAAGAGACTGAAATCCTAGGCAGGAGCATCCTGTAACTCTATAAAAGTCAATGCCGAGTCCCAAAATAATGAAAACACCCCAACTTTGTTTCCAGCTGTATAAATAACTCAGATTTTCAGCTTTCCTGCCAGAACTTGGCTGTAAATACCCTTCACTTTGTTCAATTTTACATCTACCAACAACCATTTTCTCCACTTCTATCTATTCAAAACAAAACATGAAGTGCAAAGGTTATCAATTCCTAAAAATCTCTTGTGCATAGACAGACTCACATGGTCTCTGTCTCAATGAACAACAGCTAATCATTCATTCTCATTATACTGGCACATAAATCTTCTGAGTGACCAGGGAAACCAGAAGCCTGCTACCTCATAACATTCCTTGTGTGCCTGCTGAAGGCGTTGTGTCTATACATTGCCCACGATTCCCAGAAACACGGACTTAAGAATAATTCAAGAGACGTAAGAAGGACTACGAGGGAAGGATAACCTGCACGTAAATATTGCCAAGAAGCCCTCAAAACTAATTGCTTGAGGTGGTTATGAAAATAAAGAAAAAAGTCTGTGATGCTTATCAATCTTATTTCTCAAAGGCTGACTGGCCTTAGTATAGTTTTACATCATTAAAAAAAAAAATTAGGTTAACACTAGAGCTTATAATTTTATTCAGCTTGAGAGCCCTTAAAGATCTGCTACATGGACAACAGTTTCACATTTTTTGAGGTACCCTGCACTGACCTCTTCCAATCATCCACAGAAACTAGAGGTGCAGCTGACAACAAACTGACATTCACAGAGCTACAAAGTCATCTGTGAGACAGAAAGGTCAATCAAGTAGCCAGAAGTGTGTCCGGGGTGTAAACACAGCATTTCACAAAAACAGCGTGGTCCAGATCTGCCTGACATGTCCATATAGGCAAGGCCAATGCCTTTTGTGCAAAAGGCATGAGTGCCATTTCATATGAAAAAGCATAAACATCTATCTACCCTCCAAACTCCTAGAAGTATAAATAGTTTGAGTGACAAATACTTCTGTCACAGTGTTCGGGATACCTTCAAAAGATATTCCCAGCACTATATATGACTAACCAAAGCCTGGCAGAGTTCACCCTTATAAATATATCCTGGATAAGCCTGTTGATTTGAACAAGAATTTGTGTGTCTGTGTCTAAAGGAAGAAGAGAAGAAGCAGGAAGGTTGGTCATGTCAGTCACTTGTGTAAATTTTTCAAGTTGACTGGTAGAGTTTATTATCTACGCTTTGACAGCAATAAGAGCATTGAATTCCTAAATGTTGTGTATTACGTTGCACAACAGGTTTTATCACAGAAAAACTGAGTAGTGTTGATGAATGAAGTTTCACATAGGTTACTGTTGAAAAAAAAATTAGACATTATTTGCATAGATTGCATTAAGCTGATTGTTTCCCACCCCTCCCAAGTACTTCAGTACCTTGGAAATAAATTACAGTCAGAGGATTATTAAAATAAATTTTTTTAAAAGTACTGAAGTAAATTTCAAACCACAAGACAAAGCAAACTGTACTGTAGTCTATTTTCAGACCTCCTCAAAGTTATTCATATTCTAGTTGTCAAACAATCATACAACTCCCAGACATCTTTTTTTTCCCTGAAATCCTGTTATGGAGTCTTCCACAGACACATTAAATTATTTCCTCTTCAATATGTTAAGAAAGAAAAAAGGAGCAACCATCCTTAAGTCACATGTGTTTCTCTTTAAGAAAAAGGGTCTCCACAGTTCAACAAGGCAAATAGTTCTCTGTAAATGAAGTCATGCTGAGATTTTTAAAGCACCCAGGATTTGGAAAGCAGTATTGGTAGCAATGTCATTGTCACACAAGCTAGAAATACTCTTTCTCACCCTGTTTTTTAATCCCAGCCTTCCTGGGACAGTGTTTCAACCTGTACAAACCAGATTCTTTGCTAAATTTATAACTGTGTTGAGAAACACGTCACTACAGAGAAGCACAAGGAAAGCTGTGTGAAATACTAAGGGTTTAAATGTCCTTTCGAAAATATTTGCTGTCATTCTGACCCAACTAGAAGAAAAAGGGAGACGAAACATTTGCAATAGCAGCTTGCCTCAGTTGGTAGAACCTGAATATGGGATTTTGCCTGGTTTATTTTAAGTCTGAGCAGCTAGCAGCTGGAGTATGTCCCACATGCTAACACTTGGAATTCCCCAGGGAGAAGGTTTGTTTCAAACGTACACGCCAGCCCTCCAAAGCTGGTTGTCTTTGTGCTTTATTAAGTTTACATCCTCCATCCTTGCCTCAAGTCTCGATGGTAATGCACCTATTCTGAGCAAGTGAATGTTCTTGCCAGCTTCATATGGACTGGTTTTGATTTAAATGCAATCTATGAACAATATCTACTTGCACACGCATACACACCCCAGGCAGACACCGAACAGACGCAGCCTTGCAGACTTACACAGCAGCTGTGACAACAACTGATGTCACCTCCTTTGCAGAAATTTCCACAAGCGTCTTCCAAAGGCCAAGTTAAATGAGATAGAGGTTATCAATTTCTTTAAAGTGCTCTGGATGAGACCAGTCCATGTGACCCCCTTCCTGGCCGCGGGGGTGTGGTATGTCACAGCTCCCCTATCAGCTGGCACATGGCAGTGGGAGATATGAGACAGCAGAAAAGCAGTAGTAACAACACCACCAGCCTGCCGAAGACAGAGCGAATGCGCTGAGTAACTTCAGAGTGTGCTCACTTACTTTCTGCAAACAGGTGGAGGCTGCTCGGCCCTGGCTTCTGCTTGCACATCCCACTCAGCACAGATGGGTGCTAATGTTGCCAGCTATGCTCTGGAAAGGCTACGGTTCGTTAGCGTCGTATTAACGCCTCTAGCAGTGAGTTGCAATATTCTTTTTTTTCCTTCACAAACTTTCCCCTTCTTCTGGATATTCTGTAAATAAAAAAGAAATTACTAGCAAGGATGATTTTCCAAAAGCAATTGCTTAAGATAAATTCCCTGCCTCGTTTTTTGCAATAAAAAGATTAGAGAATTTCAGAAGATAACCTCCTCAGCTTTACTGCTAAAACAACTGAGTGTTTCAAGTTTCCTTCACTACCTTTAATTATTATTAAATGATCAGTTGTAAAGAGTTCATTTTTAAAGCTTCTCACAATTATTATTTTTATTCAAAATACCAACAAGCCAATAATATATTAACAGAAACAAATAGGTAATATTTGTAAAACATCTCAATACCTCATACTTGGTAGGACGAAAGGACTTCTTACTTGAAGTAATTTAAAAACATAGCCATAGGATTGAACATTGCATTCAGCAGCCTGCAATTTTCACCCCAGGGCTCACCCAGATTCTCTGCATGGGCCTGTTAGCACAGAGAACAGCCTTAAGCACTTACCCCAAGCTAGTCATCATATTTTGATTAACAAATGTTGGTAATGCAATTTTTTCTTTGTGAATGTGCCCTTTCAGTGTCTGAATTCAAATTCTTGCACCAGCATAGTTACAGTCACTCTAGATCTCTTGGGCATGTCCCTTGCAAATCGTGCTGTTGGTGCAAGACCAACAGTTTCCAGAATACAGCAGCACAAGGTATAAATCCTGAGTCAAGCCCAGCAGTGAAATATAGGTATACAGTACACGTAAGTACTCAAGAATTTGTGACTACAGTGCCAACAGAAGCTGAAATTCAGTCTTATGCTCCATTCCCGAGCTACATCTCCTAGCTTTGCTACTGAGTGTGAAAAGACAAAAGTTAGGGAATTTTAAATCAGATTTTTTTTTTTTGTGGTTCTGCCAGATTGTTCCAATCTTACTGCAATCTCACACCTGTTAAGAATCTCCCTGACTTGTCTAGCCAGCTCACATTGGATTAAAAAAAGCTACCTTGCCTTCACCCATTTCCTCTTTCAAAGTTAAGTGTCTGCAGATAGAAAAATAAGCTTTCTAGGGCACTCTCCTATTTCAACTGTGGTGTACCCAGCGCAAAATTGTGGCTGGAACCTGGATGTTAATGTCACCTTAAATAATAATATTTTTTCAGGTGCTGGCCAGAGTTTTAAGAGATAGTTCCAGCAATGAGCATATCAGACGGAGCAGCAAAGACACAGCTGCTCAAAACAGCAACGTGCAGTGGATATACATGCAATGAAAAAAGACCTCCTTCAAGGAAGATATTGAAGACAGCTGCAGATCAGTCCTCCTCAGGGTTCATTAGCTTTTTTCATCTTCTGTAAACCAGCCCTGGGCATGACTTTAGAAGATGATTAAACCAAAAATTTGTGTGTCATTACACCCTCTCCAACTCCAGCTGCAACATTTTATCTGTGGAAGCCCCAGGATCCAAGATCCAGGATAGAAGCCTTCTGTCTCTCTACTTCCTTGGCATGCTGGTTACAATCTCTGCTCCCACCACCACCTATGTTTGAACTGTGATTGGTTAAAGACCCTTAATCCTTGCTGGAATTGTATAAACAGAAACATGGATTGCCAGCCACCTAAAATCTCCAGTGAGCCCTGGACTGTGACAAACAAAAAGCCTTTCAGTATTCTCCCGAGCAAGTCTTTCACAAAGGTAGAGTGAATTTTGTGCCCAAGTTCACTTCCTCTTTATGCTGCAGGGATGCTCTAAATGGTTCTGTTATGTGTAGGACAGATACATATTTATCTGTAATCCTGACCATACAGATGGTGAGATGCCAGCTATGAATCAACGGAATCTACAAAGTTTTGCCAAAGGCACTCATAACTGTGAGTTGCACACATGGGCGCTTTAAGTGCTAAAAAAGGCCCTACTCTCTTCACACCTGAAATATGGGTCCACAGCCCTTACACCTACAACATTCACAAGCCAGTGCAAGGTAGCCCATGCACAGCAATTTTAAGTTTGAAATGCAGACACATGACCTCAGATTCCACTCATAAAGGGCTATCTGTATTGCAATGTTTGAGACTTACAAGTGCAAACATAGCAGAGGCACTAAGGGCTTATGTGAAAAAATAATTATTCCATGTAGAAAGGAAGTTGGCTTGCTTTGAGAAGAGGTGTTAATAGACTAACCTTTTTCCCCAACACCAGCCTGCTTACCTGAAAATATGAAAACATCTACTGATGCAGCACTGTATTTATTTGAGGTGGGTATCATATCCCACTCATGTTAAATGTCTTGCTGCATTTCAGACCAAGATAGTCATTAATGGGAATACCAGTTATAAGAGTCATTTAATGAAAAATAACCCTGGACAACTGTGCTGCAATTTGGAGGCAGAGGCGTGCAGATCATAGCACACAAATACAGCTAAATTTAAAAGAGTAGCTTCAGAATAGACACCTTCCCCCCTTCCACCAGGTTCAGGACAGTTAATAAGAGCTAGATCTTGAATGACAGTACCAAAACAGGGACTTGGCAAAGAAAGAACTTGCTTCAGCTGAGAGATATGCCAGAGTACAGATAAAACCATCAGCAACTGGAACAAGGAAAGGGTGGAAATGCTACAAAGATCTATGGTAAAACAGGAACTTAGGTCCTTCTCAAAAGCAGCATCACTTTGTTACCTAAACAAGATTCCTTCTTCTCCCCATCTCCAATATATTTCAACTGCAGTCAATGGTAACTCGCAAGCAGTGGCAAAAGCAACAATACTTGCATAAACATGGCATTAGTAAATTAAGCACAGGTCCTCTGGTTGCTCTAGCTGTGCCTGAGTAATGTTTCCACAGTCACTCCTTCTATTAACAGAAAATTAATGTCCTCTGCCAGCCTAAGCATGCACATAAGTAGGCTCCTAACTACCAAAAGGAGTCAGGGCTGAAAACTGGGAGGACAAAAGCCTACAGGAAGTGTTTAAACTAAGCCAGACCCCACTGGGAGAGAACCAAGCATTATGTAGCTATATCTATGGGCTGGGTGGGATCTCAGGAACACTGAGGGTGTGGGACAATCTCCCCACCTGCTTTCCTTCCAGCTGGAACTGAAATAGGCACCAGCCAGAAATTACTTCACAGACAGCAATACAAACGTGTCTAGGAGAGACAAGTGCTGTTGATGCAAAGTAGGCAACAGCGAAGACCAAGGGCTCTTGTTCTCCCAGAAAATCCCTTGTACCTGAAGGGAATGCAGGACTAGCATGGATGGGCAAGACCTAAAACTCTGCGATCTCCTTCCTTGCAGTGTAAATATGTAGATGCTTCTTCTTCATTCTGAAGTTCTTTTGGGTATTCTTTGAGTAGGGCTAGGAAAGGATCAGCTTTGCTGTCTCAGATAAGATACACTCTCCCTTACATTTTTTTTCCAGCCTAAAGGGGTTTAGACAAGGGGTAGTTTCTAAGGTTGCTGGAAAGAAGCCATAAAGCTGCTAGGAGACTCAATGGAAGATGTGGCTTGCCAGCTGCTAATCTGTGTGGCAGGGGCCCCCTGGACATCCACACCTCAGTGGAAGCCCTCCCATAACTCTTTCTCTCAAGACCCCATTATCCCTAGTGTTAGCATCTCTGCAATAAAATTAAAATCTGATATAAGATCCAAATTAGAAAAGGAAAAATATGGGGCTTACAACATCTACATCGTCTATGCCACTCTTACCTCTGCTTCTATTAATTGATCCATCTGCTTCCCAGAACTGGGACTGTCTGCACTCAAAGGAGGACCTTGCTTTTGCTCTAGTAGTGGAAATGGGTGTGCCTATTTGGGGGTGTTTGTGTTCTTAGGGGGAGGTTTATATCCTCTAAAATAAGTAACTTGCAATGCTTCTTTATGGAGATGCACACGCAATTTCTCACCAAGAGCCCAAGGCAGATTATGCCAGGCCATTTCATAAGATGTTGGAGTGCTAACACATGGTGTGCATGGGCACCTTTTATATATATCACAAACACCTACTTGCCTGGAAGCAAATCAATAACTCCCTACACCAAAGCTTGCATTTGTTTGCTCTTATTAGAGGTGGAATGGTGCCTGAGGGAGGGCCATAGGCATTCCATTACTTAGGATCAGTGCCTGAGCAAAATGGAAAGGCTGCTAAAAATAAGCAACATTTGCTCATTGGTATAAATAACAAAAGCGAGAGAGAAAGAAAAACAGAAAGAGAACAAGATGAAAATGAAAACTGGCCCCAGACCAGGCCTTGCAGAATGACCAGTCACCTCCTCATTGCCAATTCTCTCACCATCTCCACTATGGGCAAGATACTTTCCACTGCCAAGTGCCCTCATCTTCTTTCCTGAGAGGACCATAACTTGCAGATTCATATTGGGCCTGAACATAAAAGACAGCTCCCACAGCACCTCACAAAATACCACTGTGATCCTTGTGGTAGCTTGTGAAGTATTTGTTCTATCTCTATTTTGTTTATTAAGGGTATTATGGAGGGGGGTAAGAAAGGGAAAAAGCTGCACTTCCATAAGGCCATCATCATTAAAAACTTTATCCTCTCTTTATTAAAATAGAAATAACTTTTGGATTACCATTTTTCTAACAGACTTCCGGAGCAAGCAATTCCCAGAGCACCCTTGGCTGCCTGTTTTCAAGTACTAAG